CTGCCCTCTACATCTAGAGGCACAACAGAGCTCAGTTCTTCCTCAGCAGGGCGACCCGCGCCTACTGTTTTTCTCGTTTTCCCGCGACAAACGGAATTCCGAATTCCGTATTTTTCAAAAATACCAATATTTCGGTACTTTTACATTTTTAAAATTCACCAATTGTAATCGATAACATTGTTCCAGTTGGGTAATGAGTATTGCCCCGTTACATTTTCAGGAGCACGGAGCTCTTCGGAGCTGGGCCCTGCTGCCCTCTACATCTAGAGGCACAACAGAGCTCAGTTCTTCCTCAGCAGGGCGACCCGGCCTACTGTATTTCTCGTTTTCCCGCGACAAACGGAATTCCGAATTCCGCATTTTTCAAAAATACCAATATTTCGGTACTTATACATTTTTAAAATTCACCAATTGTAATCTTCCAGTTGGGTAATGAGTATTGCCCCGTTACATTTTTAGTCTTGGTCTAAATAGGATGAACCTTTAATGTGTATTCTTGAGATAAAAGAGCAAACGAGTAGCGTTAGTTATCTTGCATGCTTTTGGTCCGCTCCCGGTTAAAGTGCACGTGTCCGACTTCTGTGTGTCTATTAACGTGATCTTCGAGAGTCAAAGCTAGATCTGAGTAAAAGGGCGGCAACTTCATTGCAGTGCAATCCCGTATCTATGCAACTCCAGTTGTTTTAGCAATTGAAATTTCGAATTTACAGAGTGCATTAATTTACCAGCGCGTTATTTACATTTTCTCGTGCTATCTTGACAGATCAATTTGTTTTTCTATTTTGATCTTCGCTTTTCTATTTTTTGTCGTAAGATCTATTTTTTGCGAAACTACTTCGACGCATCAAAGCGTCAACGCGATTCACCTTTGTATGCTAGACCGTTAAGTTTTCAGCTCTTTTATTCCAAGATAGCAGAGCACAAAAATTCAATCTCGTCCAAAGACAGGTACCCCTGTTGATATCTCAGAGGCAATGGCACGTCGAAGTTCTCGTCGACATCTGAATATTTATTCACATGAATGTCTCCCCAGACGTTTTCGTTCAGACTACACTCCGTTGAGTCAGGAGAGAACATCTTGACGTCATCCAAGCGAGAAGGTAAGCACGACACCGCGTTCGAAGAGTTGGAAGTGTATTTTGTAAGCGTATTTATGGCCATGGAAGCCAAATTGGGGACTTTGGATTGATCTTTCGTCGAATTCGAGGTTGGCGAAGCAAGATTGTGCAACACTGGAACCTTGAGCGACCGCTCTGACTCGCGTTTCTGACGATCAAACTTGCGCTGAATCATGTTAGCCTTATCGCGGTGGTACACACAAAGCTGATGTGGCTGACCGTTGCGCTTACTGGAACGTTCATTACGGCATTTGCCGGTCTTATACTTGCATTTGTTGGTGTCGTCTGGAACACATGTGTCCTTGCGACCTTTGCTGTTTGAGAGCGGTGGGATCGACTTAGAAAGCATTGTCAAGAGTGAGGAATGTGAGATTGGTTCTCGCTTGTCAAGTGTAGAAATGATTGAAGAGCAAGGCTGACATGCATCGCAGTCACGACATCATGAGATCCGTTGCACCTCATGGCTTTACGGCAGACTGTATGCCGACACATTGACGGGACATGTTAGCACGACGGTGCACTTGGTTGAAACAGAAAAAATCAACACGAATATGTCCAATGTTATTTGATTACATTATTAGACCGTGTCGAGGACATTTCGCACCGATAAACAGATGATATGTTAAACTGCACATCCAGAATCTCAGACGTAGACATCAATTGCAATTGAATGTTACTATCTCGTGCCTTTCAGATGCTTGCCTGGTTAACTTTATACTTAAACGAAATGCTTGCTTTTTTCGTCCGGGAATTTGCTCTGCGAGACTCCTCAAAAGTCGTCCATTCTTTCTTTTGGAAACCTGTCAGCTTTTTGATATTAAGCGGAGACGCCCAGACATCTGTCGTTTCCCATTATCATTGTACTTGAGCTAGGTTGTGATATGTGCCAGCAGGGTATTTCGGAACACAGACAAAAATTTTCTTGTTCTAGGTACTAGACGTCGTTCACTAATCCTACGATGCTTTGAACATATGGTATATTTACTTTAGCTGCGACCGATACAAGCGGATGTAACATATCTAGCATGTGATATCCGAAAAAGCGGATGCCTTTTGGTAGTGGGATAAGTGATACGCTTACTGAGTTAGTTTTGAAGAGCAGTAGATGCTATGGGTTGTGATTTTCGCCACTGCTGCCGCATGTTCATCTGCATGAAGTCCCAATGCTACAAGAAGCTTGTTTGAGGGTAGCGCCAAATGACTAAGCTGCATTGACATTTGTCAGTTTAACTCTTGAAATTTACCCCGCAGTACTCATTGTAGCGCCATGTTTACTTCGTTAAAAGTAATCGATCTCTTCCAAGAGCAAAACTGTCGAAATTTAAATTGGAATCGTAAGTTTTGTAGCTCTTAAGACACCCTCGTTCAAACTGCAATCTAGTAAGTACATGCTAACGCCATCTAATAAGAGCTAAAAACTTCAACAGTAAAGACGACGTAGCGTCGGTATACAATGGAAACGAAGGAAGTAGAAACTGAGTGCTTGCTGCATATTTACCATAGCAATAATTGCCAGATTAGCAATCATTTCTATGAGCCCGTCAATGCTCCTTTTTGTCGGCATACGGTGTGCTGCACTCCGGCTTGCACAATGCTTAGAGGAGCAATAAATCTGAATATGCTGTACAACAGACTTAGGGCCTATCACGTAATTTTTCATCTTGTAGCGATCTACTACATTCAACGGCTACAACCACAATTGACATAAAAATTACCAATGTTCAGCGAATATATCGAAGATTTTCGGATGGTGATCCATCAATACTGAGTATCTCATGTTGAAGCACCATGTTTCACTAAGCACCACTACTCGACAAGTAGGCTGATAATCAGCAACTTTAAAAATGCGCGTTCCTTGACGAATATTTTAAGCAAAAGTTTGTGTTGCCTTCTCTCTCATATATATCTCCTAGCTTATTCTATGGTCTCTACCCACCTTTTCAATGTTTAAGTGAAAGGGCAGCATTGTGTCGGTGAGTATCCACCGATTTCACATTGGAGCTTTGATGATGGCAAATTAATAAATCATTCTTATTATCGATTTGTTTTAAAAGTCTAGAACACATTACGCTCGTTGGGTGAGAAGCCGCTAGCAGCACTTGCTAAGCGAATTTTTGGTAGAGTCGAAAAAGATGGAGTCAAATCATGAACGACATCATTACTCAAGAATGGCAGAGCAGAGGAAGTCGATTTCGTCGACAGACAAGTAGCTTTGATTGCAAGTTATAGGCAACGGCATGTCCGAATCCTCGCCGTAAAATGATGACTCGTTTACGGGAAGGTCTGCCCAGACGCTCTCGTTCAATTCGCAATCCGGTGAGTCGGGCGAGAATGCGTCGACATTGCTCAACAAGAGTGATGAGTAGGATTCAGACGTCATCGAAGTGGTCGAATTTGTGGACCCGGTCGGAGAAGCATCCAAAGTGGTCATGATGGACGTCAGTTCCGCGACATTAGTGCAGTCCATTGTCGATGTCGAAATTGGAGAATCAAAAGTGTGCAAGCCAGTAAGCTTCAGAGCACGTTCTAACTCACGTTTTTGACGGTCAAACCTCCGCTGAATCCCGTTCGCCTTGTCGCGATGATATTTGCAAAGCTGATGCAACTGGCCATTTCGCTTCTTGGAGCGGGTATTAACGCATTTGCCGGTCTTATACCGACATTTGTTGATGCCCGGTGCAGGCATGTTACCAAAACCCATGTCAGTCGAGCGTGGCGAAGTCGAGATAGCAACCATAGTTTTGTAGCTGTTGGTTTTTTCGAAGTCGTCGAATTCAAGAATGAACATTTGGTAAACTTCGGGCGGGCTCTGATAAGCACCCTAGACACGGTTTCATGACCTTTGTCGCCCGGTATACGGCACACCGTATGCCAGGAGATCAACACATTGACGAGCCACAGGAAAAAGATGGCTCCCAGCAGGTCTAGGTATAGACACAAATCCTATCCACAACGCTTGCATGGTATGACAGTACACTGGCAGGCGATAAAAATAAGGTGATAGTAGTATAAAATGATATCGTCTTATCGGTAATGAAGATTCTTAAGCACACATAACGAGTAATCTTTAGCTTGAGTTATAAATCAACAGTAACCATATCTGCAGCTGAATCAAATCTCTTCTAAACGCCCCTTCCTGTGCGAATAAAAATCTCAAATCATCAAACTGCATTCTGTCTGCTTTATATTCAACATTTCTACGTAATTAAATCTCACAGATGCTGTCAGTATAGCAGTATGAACAATCATGAGCTAATATGGCACGCTAGAACAGTGTATATCTCAAAGTCTAGTTTATTCCGATGGATTTTTGGTACAATTGCACGTTCTTTTGAAGTGAGCTCACTCTTAGATTCCATCTGTATGTCACTTGGCTGGATACAACAGAAAAGATTCAGATTTGTGAAAGTATTTAGCAAAGGACACACCTTCGGTATGTTTCATTCTCAGCTTGAGATACAATGTTAGGTATAATTTCCATGGTCTTAGGAGACAAAGTGTATAAGAAAGTGGTGTGATACATTTAAGTAGCGCGAAACGCGGCGATGCCAGTCCCACTGTTTGATGTGGCAGAAAGTGTTAGAAGGGGTTGTGGATTGATACTGCGTGATATATCCTGCATCGAAGTCTGTGAGCATGTTGAACTGTGCATCGGAAAGACGCGCATCCCGATTTTAGAGAAAATGACAAATAGCGTATAAAGTGTATTTTAATACCATTTATCGAATCTGTGCCAGAATATTTGTCACTCGCGATTATAATGTCATCCATGTCATAGGATGATGTATGCTATCCAGTGAAGTGTAGCAGTCACGTAATGTTCAGGTCGTGGCGGCACCTTGCTATGTACACTCATTTACTTCATTGACATGTTTGACAGTAGTAGTATACAGCAAAAAAATCACTTAGCCGCGGTGTCCAAGCACTCGGCACATCTGCAGCAATGATGAGTACCATCGTGTTAGCAAGTGCATGATTCGTGCGGAAAGCGCGACCAATCAATTCACAACAACCGAACATGCGGATATCAAAATGTAAGATTATTTCATTTATCGATGTATTGGACTCGTCAACTAAAAATTCTCCGCCGTATTGTATAGCTGTTGTAAATAAATTTGCCGTTACAGAAATTCTTTCCCAAGTGATTTTGATTGTCAAAAACAGTGTCTGCAAAGGGTCCACTCACTACGCTTTCTGCATATTACCACGTGTTTTGCTATATACCCAATTGGATATAGCCATAAAAATGTTTACTTTATTTCGTAATCATAATGTAATAAAATCCCTGCAAGCGCATTCCACGAAAGCAGCTGCTTTTTATGTAAACTTCATTAATGTGCTGTAAAAATGCTTCTGCAGCCAGACTCACTGTCTATGGATAGAAACTGCATCTTCGTAAGTCTAGCAGAGAGCCAATGTATATAAATGATGTACGGGAGTTTGATGCTGTATACTACTCAATAGACGTCACAGGTTTCCCTGCAGTAGCTATCAAGATTATTAAGAATTAAAAGTGAGACGACATGGTTGATTTTTTTAAGTATAAGCGTCAATATTAAAGGCAGACGAACTTTCGGATTCATGTGTCCAGCCTTTAATATCGACGCTGGAGAGTGCAGCGATACATCACTTAATTAACGATAAGCAAGTTCAGTTTGTATTTGCTCAGAGAGCACAGAATATGTGTCCAGACTACGTACATATCGAGCCTGACACCGAGTCGGACTTGTTAAGCGTTTAACCCAATGACCGAGCAAAATGTTATCAAATATTTGAGATTAATTTACAGTTTATGTCCTTAAGACTGCGGCGTTTGGTAGTTTTACCTAGAAGTAGAGTACAACTTGAGCAGAATTTCGTACTTTGTATGGTCCTTTATTTTTCAAAGATGTAGTCTATTCCTTATACTTGACAGCCAATCATCGTAAAATGACCCGTAGTCCAAACATCCTCGTAACTGGCACGCCTGGCACGGGCAAGACATCCATGTGCCAGCAACTTGCAGTACGTTTCCAATTGCTTAAATTCTGCTATACTTAAACTCATGATATAAAAACTGCAATAGGAACGCTCGCAATTCCTTACGCACGTGAACGTAGGCGAATTGGTATCGTAAATGAACATTGAATCAATGCTTTGAAATTTTATCTGAGATGTAGAGCTCATTGCTATTGTAGATTAAAGAAAAGGGTCTTCACAATGGTCGCGATGAGGATTTTGACTGTTTTGTGCTCGATGAAGATAAAGTTTGTGATGAGATGGAAGACATGATGACTGAAGGAGGCAAAGTTGTGGATTTTCACACATGCGACTTTTTCCCAGAGCGCTGGTTTGACTTGGTCGTGGTGTTACGTGTGGATAATACAACGCTTTATGACCGTCTTCAAAAACGCGGTTACTCTGAAAAAAAGGTGGCTGAGAATGTCGAGTGTGAGATTATGGAGGTGGTACTACAGGACGCACGCGAAAGCTACGCGCCCGAAATTGTACAAGAGCTGCTGAGCCGTACAGTCGAAGACATGGAAAGCAATATTGAGCGAATACTGATGTGGGTGCAGCATTGGATGAACCAGCATACGGATGATTGATTGCTACATAGAGATAGAGAGAGAAGCACTTAGCTTTGTAAATTTATTGATCACTTTTGAGATCCAATGAAATCAAAACATTGAATTGCAAGGTCTCGCAGATTCAAGTGTGGTGACCCTGAAATCTTGGAACTATGCAAATTGTGTGACATCCTTGCTATTAAGTGAGCAATACTGTGCACTGATGTACCACAGATCTTGAATTGAATGAAGCAATGCAATTGAGTCCTGGCTTATCGATGTCCTCCTATAAATTAGATTTAACACTATATCTGAAAGATTATTTTGATTTGCGTCGACTCGTAACGCAATGTTGAATTATAAGAATCTTCACCAGTTTTTATGCGCTTTAAACTTCTACCTTGGAGCGGGCAATGATGAGCTAGTCAGTGTAGTTCACTGCGAGTAGTAATTTCTACTTTAACGCCACAAACAAATTTATCTAGCTCACTGAATATTGTGTTAAACTTTCAAACCTTTCTACAGAGTTAATATAAAAACTTGAGTATTCTAATGAGCAGGTTTATTATATAAACGTCTCACTACCTTGACCACAAATAATATTCTCTACCACGAGATATCCTTCTTGGCGCCAGCTTCTGACTTTTCTTCCTTGCTTGAACACCCTCCGGATCCACAGCTTTCCTTTTCAGCCATAGGATCTTGCACTGCCACTCGAAATAGACGATTGCCGAATTTCTTGTAAAGCGGCATGATGCCACCACCTGCAAGCAGTCGTTCTTCAAACAATGACATGTTGAAACGGAAGGTCTCACCACCAACTTCAATCGTTCGTCCAGTCATATTTACCGTAATTTCAGCATTATCCGTCGCTAGCTCATAAAAGCGATCATCATCCAGCTGAATTCCCAGCAAACTAAAGTTCTGGTAATTACGAGAAAAAATATATCCAAAAGAGCGAGCAATAAGAGCCTTTACACCAGCGCCTTTCATAGCTGTTACTGCCTGTTCACGGGATGAACCACAACCGAAACCATGGCCGGCAACGACAACATTTTGCCCCTGTTTGACCTTGTCACGAAAGTCTGGGTTTGTGTGTAGAAAAGCAACTTTACCCAGTGCTTCCATGTCATTTTCACACAGGAACTCGCCAGGTAGAATTGCGTCTGTGTCAATATTGTCGCCAAACACCTGCACACGGCCAGCAATGGAGCCGGAGAATGTTTCAAGTGATGCAGCAGCTTCAGCATCGGCATTTTCAGCATCTTCTAATGTATGAATTGGAAGTTCAGGAGCAACCTCTGCGATCGTAATGGGCACAGAGGGCAGCTTGGGTACAGCAGCATGAAATTTCTCGATATCAATCAGTGATAGAAACGGACGGGGATCGGTCACTTCCATTGTAAAACTGGACGCAGCTACGGTAATGGCTGAGGCCAGATTCGCAATGGATCCTTTTCCCATGCGATTACGGTAGTTGCGGTTTTGCGAACTTAGCCAGACTTCGTTCTCTCCAGCAACATCTGCAGCTATACCCAGGCAGAAACTGCACCCAGGAGCCCCAACTACAAAGCCAGCATTCTCGTACACCTGAAGCAATCCATGTTTCTTAAGATTATCGATGATAATCTGACTACCAGGTGTCACACGACGCTGGCCGTGGGGTACAGGTTTCATACCCTGCTTTAAACAAGCTTCTAGAACAAGAGCACCAAGTACTAAATCTTCCTCAGCAGTCGTGCAAGCACCAATAAAGCAGCCATCTAGCTTCATACCCACAACTTCCGACACAGGTTTAACGTTATCAGGTGATGGAAACAGCGCAACTTGAGGCTCAAGATTATCCAAGTCAATCTGAAACCTTTCAGAGTACTCTGCATTTTCGTCTGCACGAAAGTACAGTGCATCTTGATTATGGTCTGGACGCTTGGAGATGTACGCAGCCGTCTGTTCATCAGCAGGAAAGACACCAGCGATTCCACCAAATTCAGCTGTCATGTTACTGATAGCAAAGCGAGCGTCACAAGACAGTGCCGAGATGTTACCACCCCACTCGACACAGCGGCCGATAGCCACTGTATTACACTTAAGCTTGCCAAGCGTGTAAAGCATGACATCCTTGCCTCCCATACCCATTGGCGGCGTACCAACAAACTCGATAAGTACCGTTTCTGGTACTTTTATCCACGTCTCTCCCGTCACAAGAGGCATGACAACGTCTGCAGCGCCTAAGCCAATAGCAAAGGCGCCTAGACCGCCAGTACTACACGAGTGTGAGTCTGCGCCCACAACGATCTGACCAGGCTGTGCACGTTGGCGGTAGAATTCAGTGTGAAGAATAGTAGTATTAGGTGGCTGAAAGTTCGTGAGCTTTGCCTCTTTTGCAAAGTCCTCGGACGCTTTGATCATCATTTGTTGACGAGGCTGATGATTCACACGAGGGTCAACTGTGTGATCTACAGCCAACCAAAAGCGGTCGTTGCGCCAGATACGTGGACGTCCCATGTCTTGATAAGTCTTGTCCATTGATTTCCACGTAATTTCGCACGCCAGTGTCCACTGCGCTTTAACACATAACATCTGACCCGGAATCACCTCAGGCTTCGTGAGACCTACGGCCCAATGCGTAAGGATCTTCTCCGGTAGCGTGAGCGGCCGTCGACTGGGTGCTAAGGACGTGGTTGTCATCGGATTATGAGGTGGTGAATGTAATTATGAACATTTAGGGCCTTATGCGTTACCTGCTGTTTGCGCAAACATATGAATCCTGATATCTGGAATAAAAGTCGATTTGAAGGTTGCATCTATAATGAAGGGATTCAATGTTACTACGACACGATCTTCGTGTTGCACTTAGGTCGGTTATTGATACCCCATAAGCTCAAGTCTGTTTTGTGCCGACATGACAATAGTACGAAATTCCCATTGCACTTTGCTGTAATTGTGATACTCATGGTACCAATGTATTGGTTGTTATACAGATGATGGTTCTCGGCTGCTAGCCGCACACCAGTTACAACGAAGATGCCTTAGCTCTTTCGCTTAGAGGAAGCTTGGTTAAGGTCGGTGACCTTAGTTCCATACTTAAAACCAGTACAAGTTTAGCGAATCGCAATCTACTTACTCCAATAGAAACCAAAATATTATCCCAAGGCTGATTAACTCTTTCGTTCAAAAGGTAAATTGTATTTCTCGGTTTGTTTGCGCTAAAGTCGCCTATAACTAAATCTATTCCTATCAATATAGTAAAGCCTAATTAACTGCAAAAATACTGACTATTCCAGCCACGACTGACTTCTTCTTTAAGTGTAGCCACACTATTGCGTGGTCACACCTGCACGTGAAACCTTTTTACACCAGTGATCAAAGCAGCTTTGTCATGCGATGTGGTAAACATTGAATTATTAGGTTTGAATGGGAAACATTCATCATTCACACAGCGCACAGAGCAAACACTTACTTCAAGAACCCGCGCAAACGAGCTTGAGTTCGTGCGCTTTTACCAAGAGCGAATTTTTTGTGCTCTATAGTCACTTGCTGTCTATTTCGCATTGCGTTTTCAAGAGTACATCTCCTTGAAATGAATGCTGCAAATTCATTTGATAGAAATTGCGGTTGGTCCAGAGTCAAGACGATAGCAACCATTTTAAAGAAATTTAATTGCTCTTCGTTCCATTCGACTGCTCGATCAAATGCAGGTGAAACCCCAGGGTACCCTCTAAAAGCTTATAAATAAACGAGAGGAGCTGGCTAGATGATGATGAATCGCGAGGAAGAACAAAAAAACGCCGTAGTGTTGCAGATGGGGCATTAAGATATGATACGGTCACGCCAGAATGTACACTGTGGCTTTCGAGCAGTGTTGTAAAGCTCTTTTGGGGCACAATTAAGTTAGACCGGAAAATTGGCCGCTGGGAGAGGACGAAAAGAGACTGTTGGTGGCAATTGATGTAATTCTAACATTTTTTAAGACAGCTTGACTCAAATGATTTATTTGACAAAGCGATAAAGCGAGCAATTATATGAAAATAAAGTAGTAAGCAATACAGCGGGTTGCATAACTTGCGAATACCGTGTATATTGCGATGTACCAGAAAATACGTGGTAACTGCCTCCGTGTTTTTGCCATCGCTTTAGGTATTTCAAAGCAACTACTTCAAATTTTATGGCTTGCTCCATGCTTCATCTATCTTCATGGAGTTGGTCATATGTAGGTGTAGGCGTGGTGCTGTCGAAGATGAAGTCTTGGAGCACGTGGTCTCAAGACTAGCCGTTCCGACGTCATCGTTATTTTCAAAGCCCTCTGCTTTACTCTGCGCGCGAGATGAGTTTCGTGTCTGAATAGCCTTGACACATTGTAAATTTTCATGTATTTAACGTCCGAATCATATCACAGCAGTATAACGAACAGCATTATACAGCATTATATAAGCAACGTACTATGATGACTATGACGTGTAGTTATTCAGGCATTACTCGTGTCTGTCGCTGTTGTTCAGATTTTATTCGCTGAGACTGCATCAGTGCCGGTACCATCGACGATGTCGCGAGCTGTAGTAGGATCACCACGTGAATATTTTCGCAATCGGCATATCATCGTCGTCTTTCGCAGCATCTCCGTCTCTTTCTTCTATGATATCTGATTTTCGCTCTTTGGTGCATGCGTTTTCACCTTCTTTTCTTCTCAGCAATCTTTCTACAACCTTTTTTGGTGGTACCTACGATGCCTATGACAGGGTTGCAGCTATGGCTGCCCATTAGATCGACTGATTTGGATTCAAATCATGGAATGCACTAATCAAATGCACTTATGGTACACAATTTTAATTGGTCAGCAAGCTATATGCGAGCAAACTGCGTTGATGAACTCAATCAGCGGAGCTTTTTAGCATGAAGGTTTTTGCGGTTTATATACTTTTGAAAACAATTATGCTGGAAACCATTGTTATTAGGCATCAAAAGCGCCTTGACTTAACCGAACAATTTTTTCAGGGTGGCACATGCAACGTGGCAAGGTGCGTATTATCTTGACCTACACGACTAACGAAATGATAACTACTGTCAGCATTTTATCATGACACTGAGCAGCAAATATGTGAAAAACGTCAAGGGTGCAAGTGAGAGATGTCATACATGTATATTTCCAACAGCGATGGAGGTATACTTTGGTTGACTAAGGTTTCAGTGCTAGAAGGACTTTATAAGTCTATACGCTCCTTCTCCGTCGTGGGAATGTGCCTAAGTCACAGATTTAAGATGAAGTGCAAAGTATTGGAAAAAAGACAGTGTCGTCCGTCGCAGCGTGCTTTCTGCTAGTGGAGGTAGTTATTTATTGCGCTCAATCGGACCCTTGGTCGTGGCTGTTACAGTAGTCGCATGGAGATAAACCCGCTGTCAATAGCAGAAACTGGAAATTGTAACCTCGATGTCCTTGTCCTGATTTGTCATTGCTGTCTAGATGCAGGAATTACTCCGATAGTAAGCGCACCTGTAAGTATCAAGACATGTTGCAACGAAAGCCTCGCATTGGTCAAATTACACTTAATGACTGGTGGAATTACACCCTATTATGCTGATCGACTTTCTGAATCAAGACTTCCGCGGACCTCGCGCAAAGAACACTACGATTACCAATGTCCGCGTTGATCAGTTTGCTGAGGATTAGACACCTCAGATGCCAAATCGATGAAGCTCGAAGTAACTTGTTGCTCAATTGAAGGACTGTGTTAGCTAGCCAAAGATGATACTATCATCAGATACTAGACAATATATAACGCATTGCGTGAGGCTAGCAGCTCCCGTGTCCGATAGACTTCTCATCATTTTCATCTAAACCGAGTCCTGATCATGATGACTCATCATCTTAGTACTTCTGAGCTGCGCTCTATGTCCAAGGGGCAACAGCGCAATATGTACGTACATCAAAATTGGCTGCGTATCCCTCTTAAAGAAGTTGTTAGTAGTATCAAGTTTGAAGTAACAAGAACGAAGGAAAACCCGGATATACCCAGACATTGCGTAGATAGAATGAGAGTGTTCAATGTTTTCAGGTTATTTGTTTGAGCGCTCAAAATATCACACAAGGTCGTAATGCTTCGTGCAGCGGGGCTGCCGTAGCTCTTTGCTTAGAGGAAGTTAAGCTAAGATCACCGACCTTACGCTCTTTCCAAACCAGTACGAGTGTAGCGGATCGCAATGCGCTACCTCAAGTACTAATCACCTTAACCAAGTAACCGAAAACTTCTGTTCAAAATTGAAATTGTATTCAATTGGTCTAGTTGCGGCAGAGCCGCCAATACCCAAATCCCTAGGTTTTCTCAATTCATGAAGTAGAACCTAATTAATATAACAAAACCTGATACTATAGTAATATGCATTACTACTGGCAATCCTTCCACGTGGTGGCTTATTGTTACGGTGTAGCTACACCATTGTGTGATCACGCTAATTTGTGTAAAACACACCTATGTATGGTCGCACCATCTTGTGCGACCCGAGTAGGTGTGACCCTAAAAATTCTCTCTCATTAAAATTTTGAATATACTCCATTCACATTTAACGGTCTCCCCAATAATTTCTATCAAAAATATCTTTAATTTCTTACTCTACAATGCTCGCGTGTCTGAGACACCTTCACGTTCTTTGAAAACAAGTTTAATTATTCTCCGCTCTATGAATCCCTGTGTCTACAACACGAACATCAAGCCTGGCTGGTATCGAGGGCGCCCGCGAGCAAAGCTCCTCTTCTTCTTCTGCAAAGGGTGCATCTCCGGACAGTACATCCGCGGCTTCACGGGAAGCACATCCCAAGCCCTTTGCAAGTGAGCGCAACACAGCTCGCCCGCCCCGGGCGACGACTTTCCTCGTTGAGGAGTTGCAGGAAATCGACTACGAGTCGGATACTCTGATCCAAGCATGGGAAGATGAGGAAGATGAAGTGCGTTATCGGCGCGATGTGAGCCCAGCTCAAACCTCGCGGACACCATGTCCGTTCCCCGACCTCTCGGCTTTCGGGAGAGGTAGTATTATTTTAAATCGCCTTGACGAGGCACAGGAGCAGCAATTGAAGGCTGCTCACTGGGCGGTTCTTCTGCGCTCGTGTCCACGTTCGGTCTCAGACCCTCGTGTGGAGTACGTCTTCCGCTCGGCGGATCCCGCTACTGATGCTATCACTTGATCGCTAGGCGCCTACGTATTTGGGTTCCCGGCCACCACCCAGCTGAGCTGGAACAGCGGAATCTTTGCGAGCTCCCTTTTTAGTACCCCAGGAAATCGGTACCGCGCTCGACTTCGAGCTCAAAAAGGAGGTGCTCCTGTATCGCAAAGCGGACCATTCCTGTTGTGCTCGCCACTGGAGATTATGATGAGCTTTGAGAGCGGTGGGTGCAGCAGCACCGGAATCTTTCTTCGCTGTCTAACTTACAGCAAAGACACAAGGGAGTGGACGTGCGCATTGAGCGCCATTTTAGATTTATGTTTGCCAAGCCCAAGGTGCAACGCCGACTTCCTGCGTAATTTCCTGCGATTTATGGAATAATCCATAACGCTCCCGCAAGCTCTGTGGCTTTTCACATGGATGAGTCTACAACCACAGCAGCTCATGACCCTCTGGCTTTCCGGACTACTGCCGAGAAGCGCGGTGCACACAACAACATGAAGCCTCATGATTTCCATCTGATCGTAAGCGT